GGTCAGTGGGAAGGGGATCTGAGGGGACTTGCAGAGGTGGGGGCTGCGGCGGGGTCGGGCTCAGTCCGTGCTCTCCCGGCCAGGTGGAGTCCTTCGAAAGGTGGATCCGTTTGGGGAGCCCCCCACCCTCGGAGCAGCTCCAGGTGTGTCAGCCCCTTCCCGGACCCCCAACCCAGGGTGGGGGATGGGACCAGACTGGGTTTTGGGGTTTTGGGGCCCGGTGCCGAGCGGGCAAGGTCGGATCCCGCATTCCTTGTGCCGCAGAGGATGAGGCTGCTGAAGGACGCACAGGATGCACTGGAGCGGGAGTACCTGCGGGGCCGACAGCAGTTCCCGGGGGCTGCGGGGGGCTTTGATCCTGACCGGTACGTGCTCGACCCCCACGGCCCCCCCCTCCAAGGCCCGAGGGTCCCCGGGGGTCATTGTACGTCCCCCCCGGTACTGACGGCCGATGTCTTTCAGGGCGGTAGAAGAGGAGATTTACCGCCTGGGGCTGCGCCTGGAGGGGCTGAAGGAGCGGCTGGAGCCGGGAGGCAGGCGGCAGCCCCCCCTGCAGTCCCCTCCGCAGCCCCTCCCTCAGCCACACTGCCCCCCAGCCCCGTCCCCACCACCGGTCACCCACTCCCCACCCCCCGAGGTGAGCTAAGGGTGCAAAGGTGCTGGGGTGGGGGCACCCTGCTGCGGCTGGGGGGGTCATGCCTCCCGATCCCCGCCTTTTGCTGTGCCCTGCAGAGCCCTGAGCTGGTGGAGGGTCCCCTGGGGACAGCGGGGAACCACGAGGGAGTGATGGGGGGGCTGCCCTGGCCCCTCTGGCACAAGCAGCTCCGAGTGGAGGAGGATTTCGGGGACCTGCTGGAGCGGTGAGTGCCCTCGTGGCAGCGTGGGAGGGGCTCGGGCAGGGAGCATCTCCCCCAAACCGCTCTGTGATCCCCCCCAGGTACAAGCACTTCAAGTCCCTGCCGGCGTCGCTGAGCCTGGAGCAGCTCAGCCTGGTGGGGAGCGGGTCCCAGGAGGAGGTGGACGCTCCTGCAGCAGGGGACGGTGGCCCCGGCAAGGTCCCTTGCAGGACACGGTCAGTGGAGGAGGCGACCGACCTGGAGACCTTCCCCTTGTAAGTGCTGAGGGAGGACGATTCCGCAGGCAGGGCGAGCAAGAATTTGCCATCCGGGCTCCTGTTTTGCCTCCCTGGCTTCAGAGTTCGCGTCCTCCACGAGAGAGCTGCAGCACCACGTTTGGGGGTTGCTGTGCCTCATCCTCGTTTTCCATCCCTTCCCTTCCCCCACAGGCATCCCCCGGAGAGTAAAGCTGCACTGCTGCCCTCCAGGGGACCCCCAAAGGCAGAGGGGACAGGGGGCCACCCATCCCCTGCCACCTCTGAGGAGCCACCAGCCAGTGCCAAGCCCCACCTGGTGGCCCCCGGACCACCACGGGCGCCCCTGTCCCGCCGCAGCAGCGGGACGGGCAGCGCTGCCCCCCAGCACGGGCCCCGCAAGGTGAATCGCCTGCGTTCCCCCCTCTGCCAGCACCCCTAGACCCTTTCGGGGGTCCTGGGGTGCTCAGCACCGACCCTGCGTTGCCCGTGCCCCTGCAGGAGCAGCGCATTGTGTCACCGGAGACAGACAGTGGCTTCGTGGGCTCGGAGGCCAGCAGGGTGTCCCCCCCCGTGCACACCCCCGAGCACCGCCCCCCCGGCACCGGGTACGGCCCCAGACCCTGCCTTCAGGAATTCAGGGGCACGGGCTGTTAGCTCTGTCTGCGGGGGATTGAAGAGGAGCAGGGATGGGGGGAGAGGCTTCACGGACGTGGGGTGCAGGGAGGGGGTGCTGGGGGGGTTGGAGATGTGCAGGGTGGCCCATGGCGGGGGGGTGAGCCATGAGGGCTCCCTGCATGACCCCTCTCATCCCCAGGATCCCCGGTTCGCTGGGACCCTCCATCCCCATCCCCACAACCCTCCGTGTCCCACGGAAGAGAGTGACGACCCCACTTCCCTCCGAGACAGCACTGATGGGCATCTACCCCGCGGGCGGACAGGGGGGCATGGGGGGGCCCTGCCTGCCCCCCAGCACCCCCTCGCAGAGCAGTTCTCCCCCTCGCTGGGCCGAGAGCGCGGGCAGCGAGGCGGGACCCGACCCCGGCGGTGACGGAGGTGAGCAGGCAGCGCTTGGGGATGGACGTGCCCGCAGGGAGAGATTGGGGGGGCCCTGGCCCGGGCGGGGGGAAGAAGCTCTAATTTATGGTGT